AAATTCTTTTCTAGAAGTCAGATCAGAAAAAGATTAGGCCATGTAATTGCCTAACGTTTTATGCACTGTGTTTTCAAGATAGGTGCAAATAAAGTTACTCTTCAGGGAAACAGTTTTTGTATCACTGTGTAAAAATTAAATATGATCATTAATATGCATCTCTTTGAAGATGCAATAAATCTTCTTATTGGTAGCAGCAGAGGTTTAACTGACTTTATTCCCATCAGATACATTAGTGTATGCTCCAGATGTGCAAAAGGAAAGCAGACATTCCTCAGATGTAAAAAATTATCTTTGCTTTTTTGGCTGATTTACAGTTGTTACTTGTGTTTGGGACATACTTATTTTAGGTGAGAAGGGGCTTCATTCTTCTAATCAGAACTTTATGCAAAGGTTTTTGTCTTCTCTTGCTCTGCAGAGAAAGCAAGCTTGAAAAGCAGCATCAGTAGGTGAGTACTTGGAGGAGAAACAGGGTTTGAAACCAACTGTGGGGGATTTAATTTCATGAGTCTCTGGGCAGGGCTAATTATAAACTGCTGCTTGGCAGTGGGAGTAAACATCCCATCAGCATTGCCTGACACAGAGATCTTGCCTGCCAACCTCTGTACTGTCTGAGAGGAAGGAGTACAGTTTTAACTGCATTGTACCACTAGCTGCCTAGCTGCAAGCAGTTTTCATGTTCCACGTTCTCCACTTAAAACCTTAGAGATACAGTTCTTACAGTAAGATACCTTGAGAACCAAGTCACCTTTCTCTCTGTTATTTTTTTTGTAATTAAATTGCTCCTCTTGGTTTTTGCTGCTTAGGACATGCTGGAAAATAACTGTCAGCATGTGAGCTGAGCAGTAGAAGTCTTTTATTGTAGATCACTAGTGCTGGTGAGGCAAAACCTGGATTGAAATCAAGTGCTGGTAAGCTTAAAAAGCAGTTGTAATGGATGTTGTGCCTTTGCTTCCTTATTTAAACTGTTTCATGAACAAGTTCCAATGTGTTGGCTTTTCTGTATTTTCTGTAGGCTCTGTTACGGTTAGGTGTTGAATATTTCTACTCCTTGTGTTTTCAGTTCCCAAAAAAGAAGGGGCACAAGATACGAGAATGTAAAATCCTGTTATCTAGTTTTGCTGCTGGAAGTTGTAGAAGCTGCTTTTCATCCAGTTGCCTAGGTTTATGCCTTTGTGGCAATCAGCATCCTTGTCCCCTGAGGGGCCTGCTGCTGACCCTCATGTAAACTCTACAGAAATGAGAGGCCTATGAGATCAAGATGTTTCTGTATTTCCTGGAAGTAAGTGGCTAGACAGCAGGACAGACACAAGTCAAGCCACCACCAACCGTGTGAAATTTTACAAGAGCTGGTGCTGTATTCTGCACTTGGGATGGGATGATCCTGGGTCTGTGTACAACCTAGGGGAGAATAGGCTGGAAAGGAGCCTGCAGAAAGAGGTGTGGAGGGTTGGGTTGATGGCAAGTTGAACATGAGTCAACAGTCTGGCAGCCAAAAAGGACCAGTTATGCCCTGGAGTGCATCAAGAACAGCGGTGCTCGCTGGTCAAGAGAGATGACTGTTGTGCTCTACTCTGTGTGGGTGTGGCCTCACCTCAAGTCCTGTGTGCAGTTTTAGGTGCCTCAATGCAATAAAGAGATCAAAGTATTAGAGTGTATGCAGAGGAGAATGACCAAGATGGTGAAAGACCTCAAGGGCAAGACTTACAAGGAATGGCTGAGGTCACTTGGTGTTTCGAGCTTGGAGAAGGCTGAGGGGTGACTTTGTCACAGTCTGTAACTTCCTCGGAGGGGAAAATGGAGGGGGAGGTGCTGATCTCCTCTCTCTGGTTACCACTGGTACAGGACACAAGGAAATGGAATGAAGCTGCATCAGGAGAAGTTCAGATTGAACTTTAGGAAAAGGTTCTTCACTGAGAGGACGGTTGGGCACTGGAACAGGCTCCCCAAAGAAGTAGTCATGACACCAAGTCTGGCAGAATTCAAAGAGTGTATGAGACTCTTAGTCATATGGTTCAGTCCTGTGAGGAGCAGGGAGTGGGACTTGATGGGTCCCTTCCAACTGGAGAGATTCTATGATTTTAGGTTAGTCAGCCACTGATGGAGTAGCAGGTAGTGTCCAGTGGTGGGACAGAGGCCAAGTGACCATATCACGTGGTCCACAGACCTACAACTGGAAGACGAGCTGCAGCATGCAGGCTCTGTGGTACCCTGTGGTGTGCAAGGCCCTAGGGAGAGAGGGAGGGAAAGGTGGAGGAGAGCACCAGCGTTTTCAGAAAAACACAATCCTAGCAGTCTGTTGGGCAAGTCAGAAAGTTATGTTCGTGGTGATTCATGCAAGTCTCTTTTCTTGGTGTGTCACCATACACATGACTAATGGAGGAACTTTCCAAAGCTCATGTCAGCTTCTGCAGTGGAATGTAAATATGACTAATTAATGCTATAGCAGTAAGCATCTGAGAGTGGTGCTAGGTCTTTGCAAAGCACTCCTATTTGCATACTTACTTGGGTCTCTTGAATACCCTCCAGCTGTTCAGCTTTTCAAAAACCTATGTTTGCTGTTTTGTTTTACTGACTATTTTTCTCCCAGCTAGCACAAACTCTGCCACCTAGGGACAGTCTGCTGAAGATCTGTCTCTTGAGATCCTGGTATTTGTGCTACAGCCATGAAAGGAAAACAGTGTAGACACTTCTGAAGCGATCTTGAATCTGCTCATGCCCCTAGGAGCTAGAAGTACCTGCTCTATTGTGCTTTATATCCAATATAATACCTGATTTGTTTGCATATATCTTCGCTTAGACTGAGAAAATGCTCATAAGCTCGATTTCTCTGGATGCTCCTTAAACCTGTAGGGAGTGCAGCATATTCTTGCTTACTTTTTCTTCTTGGATCCTGATAATACCTTTATTCTAGTAGCTTCATCTCTTGTTGTCTGATTACTTCTTTCCTGGAACCAGCTGAATCCCTGGTGCAGAGCTCAGGCTGAGTCACTGAACGTATGGACCCACCCATACCAACAGCTAAGCAAGTACAGTTGTAAAATCAAGTGGTTTAAAGGAAGGTTCGTCATGAACAATGGAGAAACACCTTTCTTTGCTGGGAAAGCAGATTGCAGATTATTGTAGCGAGTTTCACAAGCTAGGTTTTGACATTTTCTGCTGCTTTATCTCAAGTCATATATATGAGGAGCCTGACATCTTGCTGCATGCTTGGAAAAAGAATTGTGGTTGCAGAATACTGAAGAATTCTGGTCAATATGGCATGTTTTTTTTCCTTTATTAACTCTCAAATTTGTTTTTTCCTCTGTCAAAGCATGTTTTACATGAGATTTGCAGTGAACAGTCTAAGTTATTTCTCTATGAAGATCATGTGTGAAAACAATCCCTTAAAATAGCAATGTGACTAAAAGCACACCCTTTTACAATGGTTTCCTCCTCCTGAGGGAAACCACTGCAGCTGGAACCATTCTGAGTTCCTAGACTGTTTCAGGGTTGCAGTGGGAAACTGCAAATAGCCTTTTTTCTACTCTAGGTAAAATTTCCACTGCACCAAAACATAATGTTGAGAGTATGTGCTTGTTTTTCTACCTGCCACTCCTAAAAAGAAACAGAGCTCTTGAAATATACCCATCTGTGTAAAGTTCATTGACTATGATACATGCTGAACCAGGAGACAGAGGCATTAGCAGTTTATGGTGGTCCATCCTTCTGGTTGCTACTCTGGTAGTGTTTTGAGGAGCATCCATCTTCAACAGATCCCTCTGCCTGCTTTCTTAGAGTTAAAGTCCCAAGTATCTGGTCAGGTCCTGTCTAGGTATTCCCCCCAGGAGGACTGTAGCCTGAGAGATGTATGTACTTGAGAAAACAAACACACTAGAATTCAGGTTTCACAGAATCACAAAATACATTAAGTTGGAAGAGATCACAGTGGGTCATTTGGTCCAGCCTCCCTGCTAAGTGGGTCATCCTAGAGCACATGGCACAGGATTGCATCCAAATTCTTCTGGAATATCTCCAGTGAGGGAGACTCCACAACCTCTCTCGTCAAGCTGTTCCAGTGTGTGGTCACTCACACAATAAAGAAGTTTTTCCTTATATTCAGGTGGAACTTCCTGTGCATCAGTTTCTGCCTGAAAAGTTTGAGGAGCAGCTATACAAATACTGTTTAAATATCTTTTGAGTGTTTTGACTGTTTTTCTGCCTGTTAATGTGGAGGTTTCTTGGAGTAGTCTAACCACAGGGATAACTTCAGAAAGTTACTGACATTTGAGTCTTAGCACTTGCTAATTTTATGGAGGTTTTTGAGATTGTAATGCAAGATAATATAGACTTCAGATAAACAACCTGCCAACAATTTGCATTCTGTGAAACAATTTTCATGAGCTAAGTATCCTTTAGAGCTTAAGGTCTCCACCTGGATCAAGGAAGACCAAGTAAAATATCTTCTTGCTTTTTATCCAAGGTCTATACCTAATGACTTATTCCAGGAGGTTCTAAATGTGCTTTGCTCATGCACCAGAATAAAGCTATGAATTGCCTCTGTTTCGTGAAGGAGCTTTTCACAGACCAGGCAGTGCTATCTCCTTACTTGCCTGTGAGCAAAGTGGTTCTCAGTTCAAATGTTACAGTATGGAACCCCCTGCTTAGACTTCT